GCCATAATTTTGACGCACCCTGGGGCCGTATCCTACCCTTCTTCTTGGGGAACGAAAGGATGCGGCCCCTGTAGTGAAGTAGTCAAGGGAGCTCTATACGCCTATTGCGTATTTGCGTGCAATTACGACGGAAACGTCGCGCCTAACGGTATGCATTGTGTGCAGTCACAACAATCGCAAACTTACGTAAGAATTTGCTTTTGTTCTATACTGTTGGTTTGAGTCCCGTGTGGGAAAATCAGTTAGCGCACTGTGCTACCGGGAGGGGGCAGTCTGTAGGAAGGCGACTAGGATTAAGCTTAATGCAGAGGTACGAAACCCGACGAATGAAAATTGCCTTTGAGCTCTTTTTGAGATCCCTTCTTTTTCTTCAAAGCTTACTTGTTATCCTTCTTTTTCTTCAAAGCTTACTTGTTAGTCCTAGAACTGAGCAAGTCTGTGAATCCGGCGCCAGTTTTCCAACCCCCCCCCCCGGATCCACATCGCGCCGACCGATTTTTACATGCTTCTCAGGTTTTTAATCATTTCTATAGCTTCTACAGAGCGCATTTCGTTCAACGATTTCTTCACTTACTATGTATTACACCTTTCAACAACGTTTTGACAATTTGTTGAGTTTCTTTTTACTTTGTCGCTATTCCTGGCGAAGTGACTCGGAATCAGGGTAACGCTAGGTTTCGAGACTATACCGCGGGTAAAAGGGGGTCGTATCGGAATCTCCGATAAGGGGGATCGTTATGACGCAGTCATTTCCTCTACACGATTTCCACTCTGCCCGACACCCAAGCAATTTCACTTTCCTGAAATGAGGCTGGTGTCAGACTTCGCGAACCATCGCGCGTACGCGTGTTCTGTTCATGATTCTACTTGTTTTATATCCATTGTTTCAAATTTCCAAATGGGGCACTCGTGACTTTTGCGATTCGCGTGAATCGCGCGACGATCGTGGGCTCTGACACTAGCCTTACTCGGCTCATCTAGGCTTCGGTCCGTTATTTCACACCAACAATGAGCGTCAAAAATAAGTGGAATCTGGAAAAATAGTGTTTCATGATTCTAACAGCATTTCGTAGCATTGAAGCACTTTCGCGTGGTGTTTGTCAAGTACGTTCACGACTGAATTAGGCTTTCTACACCTAACGGCCTATATTAACAGAGGAAAATGTGAGTTTCACGTGGGAATCGTCTGCCTTTGAAAATCTGCAGCGTTCAAAGAATAACTTCGCCTAACTTGTTTTCAAGTCCGGCTTTTTACTCTTCCATCTTTCAGGTTTTATGGGTATAACAAAAGACTATCTTCGATATGTCCACAGCGGAAGCTGTGGATGTGTTGGATCAGCAAATGGCGAAATCTGTGCAATAGATGCAACCACTTGTGCTGTGACTGCTTGCGAAAATGTCAGCTTCTACAACATGAGAACGAACGAGAAGGTCAGTCCATGCTTCTTGACCTTCCACTTTTGATTGTTACCGCTTAATTTGCGACAACTGCAAGGGCATTGGTGTTGCGCAGAATCTTTACATAGCGTGCTGCTTGTTTCTGAGTATGATTTTGTGCACTGATAAATCAAACGCTCCTAGGACAAATGACAATGGTTATGGGAAGTCGAATATCCATCAGAATGGCCGATGTCAGACTCTGCGATTGGAGCGATTCGGTCAAATGTGAATCGCGCGATTCGCGCGACGGTCGCGCGATTCACATTACTCCCATCATGACCAATCGCTCCAATCGCGCGATGGGCGCGATCACTCCCGTTGTGGCAGGGAGCGATCAATGGCCGATGTCAGACTCTGCGATTGGAGCGATTGGGTCAAATGTCAATCGCGCGACCATCGCGCGATTGACATTTGACCCAATCGCTCCAATCGCAGAGTCTGACATCGGCCCAATCGCTTGAGCGCCCCCCCCGCTCGATCGATACGGTTGACTACGGAGCTGCCGCCTCCCTGCCACAACGCGGAGTGAGTCGGCCGCCTCATCGCGGCGATTGGAGCGATTTTGATGTCCGCCGCGGAATCCGCTATGTCGCGCGGCGATGACATTTGAGCCGAATTCCCTCAGATCGCAGAGTCTGACATCGGCCAAGTCGGTGAGACAGGGTCAACCGTTGCTATGCTTCGACTATTGGAACGAGGGCGCTCGTATTGTGGTCTGATTTTTGAAGTGAGGCGTCGCCGAGGGGTTCGGAGAGGGCCGATAGTAATGGTTGGCAGTTGAAAGCTTGGAGCAGAGATTTGCGTCAATTCATATGCACCAATAACACCCCTTGCCCGCCCGACGATGTTTTGGAGTGAGAGTGGGCGGAGTTGGGGTGCCGACTGATCTCAGAATTAAATACTTTAGGAACAGCCACTCTGGCGAGGGTGGTGGAGGAGGTCGCCTTTCGGGTCTCATCCAGTAAGGGGGCCATCAAGTGGCTGCCCTCACCCCCCACCCCCCCCCCTAGACTGCCCCACACTCCCCTGGCGCACAGGTTTCTCGAAGTACGGGACCCCGTGAGCCAGGGGGAGTGAAGGCAGTCTAGGGGGTGGGGGGTAGGAGCAGCCACTTGACGTTGCATCACAATGCCACCCTTATTTGACGAGACCCCGCATTTCCTGAAGCAAGTGGCGAACGTCACGGTTGGTTTTGGCCCCTGTTGGAAAACTCAGCGAGTTATGGTCAGCATGTTGCCACAAAAGGTCGCTAAATGTTCACGCTCATGGCTCGGATTGGGCGAAAGAAGGGCCCTTCAGGTTTTACAAAGACCGCTTCATCACTTTCATATTTTACTTCTTCGCAACAGGATGCTCGTGTTGGCGTGGACTCCTTAACACTACGCTCTCTCGCTTCATTCGCCACCATCGTCAACCCCGTTGACTTAGCACGAAAGTGAGCTCACCCTTACCTTGAGCGTTTTTTAACGGAATCTTTTCCTTTTTTGGTGTCGTCCAACTTCGCACCAGTGCTTCCATTTCCTTATGCAAGAACCACAACAGCTTGATTCCGGGGGTGCTCTGAAATGAAAACGTGTGCGAGGTCTCACTAAATTATATGCCTTCAGGTGCATGAGTTATCGGAATCTACGAAGGAAGCTACATGTATGCAACTCAGTGCGGACAAGAGGTGGCAAGCTGTGGGGTATGCTGATGGTGTTATCCGATTGTTCGATAGAAAAGCAGCTGGTGAGTTGGTCTGATCATTTAGAATTTGTTTAGCGTTAGCTTCAGTTATTCAGAACAAAGCTGCGTTATATTCTCCGGTCATAAGAAAGCAGTCAGTTCCTTGGCATTCAGTGATGATGGACTTACTTTGGCTTCTGGAGGCAAGGTAGAATCCGCTATTTCTATTCCAAATTTGAATGAGAGTGCATATTTTTCTAAATTATCACAAAGTACAGGATAATGTCCAGGGGAAGGTTAATCCACCCGTTTTTTCGCTGAAATGAGATTTTCGCATTTCCTCTGAATTACCTATGGAAACGTAATTCCTCTACCTCTTTCTTCTAAAGACTACATCTCTAGTGTGATTTGGGCAGTATCTCTTCGAATTCCTAGAGTAGTTGGGCTTATCCTCTGTTTTGATAATTCTGCCACCTCTCTGTCCTGTTTTCTACGGCCGCAGTGCTTACGGGGTTGTACGTTTCGCTCTTATTTTAATGGACATTTTGGCACTGGAGCTCTACTAGAGTAGTTGTTACTAGAATAGAGTCCGATCAGGTAGTCTCGAAAATAATGAACTTGATCTCGAATCTTCTAAAATTCCGGCACACATTTTTTCTCTTTGATATTATGTCAACGTTAATGTTTTTCGAGTAGGATTGTGCGGTGATTCTGTGGGACATTGTCTCGGAAAGTGGGCTGTTCCGTCTCAGCGGCCACAAAGGGCCCGTCACTCGTCTTGCTTTTGCACGTGACGACCAATTTCTAATTTCATCGTGGGTTTATTTATGTTTTCGTATTGCGTTTGCATATTTTGTTATGATTTCAGATCAAAAGACTGTCTTGTCAAGTTTTGGAGCTTAAGAAGTCAAAGCTGTTTCTATACAATTTTCGACAGTAGTTCCGAGGTGCAGTGTTCCCTTTTGTTCTTCTTTTGTCACGTTATTCGTACCATATGTCAAAATTTCCATTTTCCAGTCTTTTGCATTACTCGGAGCTGTTTTAGATATACTACTTCAGTCTTCTTTGGAACAGCACAATAATGGTGGTTGCTACCGCCGAGGCAGAGCTTCTTGTGTACGAACTAATCTGGTTGGAGGACGGCAAGATCGCACTTTTGGAAAAGGTCTGATGAGCCTGATAAGAAGAAGACGTCCGAGGATCGCAACACTGAAAACTCAATTGAGGGCATGGCGAACGTGAGATATTTTATTCATTTTTAAATTTTTCTCTCATGTGTAGGTGTTACGGGTCGTATGTAAGACTTTGCGAATATGAGGGCGCATGCATAGTCGGTCGGACGACAGCAACGATCGTAACTGTCGCACAGCATTAGATGCGTATCGATCGTCGGACTTGCCTGAGTATTCGACGATTAGATGCATCTAGACAGTCAGACAGTTGCGATCGTTGCTGTCGGACGACCGACTATGCATGCGCCCTGAGCGGTTGCATCAGCGAATCGAAATGTGTACCCGCTGATCGAACTATGTGCCAGCGACTCGACACTGTTTGAAAACGGCGGGACTTTTCGCTAGCGAGTCGCTGGATTCGCAAAGTCTGACATCGGCCGTGCTATTCTCTCTTTTAAACTATTCAAAGTCAGCCACCCTTGGTATGATACAATCATATGCAGTGCTGAGGCTTCGAAAGGCCTCGTAATGTGCTTGTGCTGTTGACTGTAGAGGTACATAGAGAGGAATGGTGAAGAAATTAAGACTATTGGTTTTATCCTGATTCGTAAAACGCGCCTTCGCACAGTACCTGCTTATAGAAACACTTGGTGGCCAGTGAGTTATGAAAAATTAGTTGTGAAAATTATAGGGTTAGATTCTCCAGCTTCTCTCTTCTTGCAACCTCGGCACAGTAAGTTATATTGTGTGTTAGTTTTTGTGCCTTTCGAGGTTGGTCGGTGGAACTTTTATTAAAGC